TGGGCCCAGACCTCATTTTGTTGCTGAGGCAACTAATGTTTCTATTAAGTGGGCAAGTTAGTTTGTGCCTTGGAGTTTTCAGCTGGAAAGTAGGATAATAGTATTCACTTCAGAGATTGTTACAAAGATTAATTTGTAGGAAAAATTTAAAAGTACCTTGTACTTGGTAAGCTCCATCTGTGCTTCTGGTCATGCTGGGCCCCTCCCTTTGACTTTTATTTGTGTTAAAGTAAAGCTGATAGCAACGTGCTTTTGGTTCCTTGCAGAGACATCATAGAAGACCCAATTAAAAATGACCCATGAGCCGGGCAGTGGTGGTGCACGCCTTTAATCCCAGCATTTGGGAGGCAGAGGCAGGTGGATCTCTGTGAGTTCGAGGCCAGCCTGGACTACAGAGTGAGTTCCAGTAAAGGTGTAAAGCTACACAGAGAAACTCTGTCTTGAAAAACCAAACCAAACAAACAAACAAAAAGACCCATATAAGAAAAATTTAGTATCTCTTTGGACAGGAATTCTAGCATGGGGCCTTTGTCTTCTGAGTCCTGGCATGAGGGTCATGAAGTTTTCCTCGTTTTTCTGCTTTGCCATCTTTAGAGTGTTGGTTTGTCCTGAGATGATTGTCTTCATGACCCCAAATTGTTAGAAGTTTGAATTGTCAAACATCAAACACAGATGAGCGCCTGATAGTCACGGGAGGGGAAAAATGTATACCTAGTATACGTAATATTGTACAGCAAGTCACTTCCAAAATTGGCCATTGAAAGAGGAAATATTTTAACATGGAGTGGAGCTCCACCTTCCCTGGGCAGGGAGGGACCCAGCATGACCAGAAGCACAGTGTTGCCTCCTACCTGCAGAAAAAAGAATGACTTCCTTATCAAGGATAAAGGGAATGGTGATTACATAGGCAGCTGATGATTCCTGCCTTTCTCTACTGTCCTGATAGAAACAGAATATACCTTAAGACCTGGGAGAGAGTCAGAGTTGAGAGAACAAATGTCCTCATCTCCCAGCAGGTGGGAAGATTGACAAAGAGCATGTGAGGATAGGAACTGAGGATAGGAACGAAGCTTCCCTACTCGGTAAACTGACTCCTAGGCTTCTGTTCTTTATTTTGTCCAGCTACCTGCCTTCAGCATCAGAATATTGGCTCTTGGCCACATTGGTTCAGTGGAGAGCACAAAAAAAAAAAAGCAGCATTTGCCTTGCCTCTTCCTAGAGAGTTCTTTTTTTTTTTTT